AATCTTCCGTTAATGATAATCCACATATGAATTTGCTGCACACAGGTCGCCTCATGTTTCAGTTGGCACGATATTCAAAAGGTTGCAGTATATTTTCATGAAGGAAGCTACTCACAAGGTTGCTGAAAACTTTCCGACAGTCCACGCAGATCCTTTCATGGACTTCATTTCTCGGATTGCTTCGTGTGCGTGCCAACAAGCTAGAATGTAGCCGTTGCTTTTCCACCCCGATTGGCTTTATCTAGCTGTGAAGACATCAATAAACAAGTCTTTCAAAACCAGCAACGTCCAGGTTTTGCTGAATTGATTGAATGATTGACTGGCCTGGATGCTTGCCGGCTTTCCTGTTGAGATTTTGGTGGAGCAGTAGTTTCCGGGCGTTCCGAGGTTGCTTTCAGTAATCTAACCTTCCTGATACACGTATAGATTCTCTTATGAAACACGGAAACACATACATTATATTTGATTTTGGTTGGTCAGGGCAACAAATCTTGACCTGACGGACTTACAACACCCGCCTAAAACAACTTGCGTCACTGGAAAGGGCCACCAGTGTCCCCGATAGAATTGTAAAACTAGAATGGTAAAACTGCATCAGGATCTAGCAATCTGAGGTCAGATTCATTCGTCAGATTTCTACGGAAATGTAAGTTGTTGAAAGACACCCAAATGAATCTTTTCACTGTATACCTCCTCTGTCGATTAGCAAACATACAGACCAGTAGCCGAAACAGGGTGCAGAAGGGGGGCGAATCTTCCGAAGAGGGGTTACAACACTCTTCTCCAACTATGGTTAATTGCGAAATCCCTCAACATGGTGTTTTTATAGTATAGTATATCATAGTATAGTATATTATGGTACAGTATAGTGTAGTACAGCATAGCATAGTATAGTATAGCATAGTACGGTATAGTACAGTATGGTATAGTATAGTACAGCACAGTAAAGTATAGTATACTATGGTATAATATGGTATAGTATAGTGTAGTGTAGCATAGTATGACAGTATAGTATGGTATAGTATAGTATAGCATAGTATGGTATAGTGTAGTATAGTATAGCATAGTATAGTATAATACAGTATGGTATTGTATAGCATAGTATGGCATAGTATAGTATAGTATAGTATGGTATAGTACAGCATGGTATAGTATAGTGTAGTATAGTATAGTATAGTAATGTCGAAAAGCGGGTTTGTTGAGATAAAACGTTATGATAGTCTAGGTGTCTGGGGTGCTGGACGCTTCTGATCTACCATGGGAATAAAATCAGTCTATGCGTAAGAGTTACACGAAAGAGGAAGAAAAGAAGCTGAAGTCGGAAGGTGAATCAAAGATCCTTTGTTACGTACGGGTAGAGATCATAAATATATATGGATGCAGCGAATGTTGTAGACAGGAATACATCTGACAAAGACGATGGATGACGGTGCCTAATTCATCGACCATTGGTCGCCAAAGAGTGTCGGTTCCAATCACGAGAAAGCACAGTGGTTTAGACGCTAGTTTACGAACCGCAAGGTCCATGATTCGAACCCATCCTCAGCCTCTCGACTGCTCCTGGAAGTATTCCAGCCCTCGAGCCTCCTTCCGTTGGCACGGCAGCTGGGCATTGAAAGGGTGCTATAGCTGAACGATTAGGTTCTGGTCTCGGATCTGGGCTACTTTCAGGACTGGGAATAGCCATTCTGATTTGGTAAATGTGGTGTTTGTGTAGTATGCTGTATTCTCAGTCGTCCTCCGTTCTGAATTTCGGATAATGATACCAAATGAATGTATTGATTTGTTGTTGCAAGCATCCGTCAAGACACTGCAACCGGGAGCGCAACACTCGGAACTTGAAAATCACGGACGTCGTTGTTGGATGTGGAGCAATGTGCTATTGAAAAAGGAAACTATACACAAATTTCCGTAGTCCATCAATTGTCTGGCTGTCGCGTCAAAGTCTACGCAGCTCTACTGAAACAAGAGTTGAGAGATGGTGTTCACGGAAGGCGGCAGCCCGCCGAATCCAATCACAGCTTCACTTTACTGGGAACAAAACGAGGTGCCGTGGTCGATAACCGGATAACCTGCGAAGTAACTTTGCGGGAAAACCTCATTCTATTTGGAATAAGCTATGGCCAATGAAATACGTCTTTTACCAGTGATCCGCAACAATCAGCATGCATACGTTGCCACGGTCGTACAGATTCCGTTTATAGGATCCAATTTCTAGGTTTGATGTGAATCGTATAGACGTATTTAGCAAACCTCCTAGAGGCGACGCTCATTTCAGGCCACCAACTTCATCCCTCAACATCTATATGGCCCTAGCGTACATCAGTCAGCACCGTAGAATCGGAAAATTACTTAGATATCGTTGGCACATAGTACTCCCCTCGTCTCTTATTGAGTTCTGGGAACCTCTCAGCATTTGATGACTATTGGCAATGTTGTGTAATATAGGCAACTAGAGTGCGCTGCTTGGTTGTTGGTTTCTTCGCCAAGTTTGGCGTTTGGATTACAAACGTTTCATAACCAATCGAGGTGACATCGTCAGTGTGCGGTTGGGTTGACAAACACCTCTACGTTTGCCTGTGCTCTAAACCGACTGTTTGGTTCCAAGCTGGCCATTGCGTATGATTGATCACCCACGAATCTGATTTGCATTGTGGTCCTAATCCCATGTATCTGATTGGTTTATTGGAGGCCTTCAATTCGACAACCCTGTTCCTCCGTTGTAATTGGACCGTTTCCTTTCCACCTGATTGGTTGATTCAATAGTTGATTGAACAGATGGCCGTCTCTTGCTTAACGCAGCTAACACGTGATAAGATTTACGAGTCTCACATGCAAGTTCTCAGCGCATATAGCGGGCACCAGTTGAGCGTTCCGGATAAGCGCAGAGTGGAGTGGCACATTCGTGTGACTCCGAAATCATACTCAATTTATACTAACACAAACTTCTGAGTCATAGCAACCATTGTCATATCTACTGCTCCCTTCCTGCTTTATATGGAATGACTGCTGTGCCAATCCATTCATTGCTGGGTCTAGAACCTGGAGCCAATATCTTCCTTAGTTGACGCCTAATCAAACTCACTGGGTATCCTATTTCTTGAAGTTTGTTGGCAATCTCGATTTGAGCTGCCGTCCGGTCGATCTCTTCTGTGCACAGCGCTCTAACTCGACGAAACATTGATGAGACAATGCTGGCGTACACGGACTTTGGGTGTGCTGATGAGTAGCTTAGGAAGGTCCCCGTGTCTGTTGGTTTCTGGTAGACAGTCGTTTTCAATTTCCCACCAACCTTATGTGTTATACAGTCCAGAAAGGGTAATGTGCCCGAAGTGGACTCTATTTCCATGCTAAACTTGATGTGTGGATTTAAACTATTGAGATAACCATGGAAGCTGTTCACCTTATCCCGTTTGATTACAACAAAGGTGTCGTCAACATAACGCCAAAAAAGCCTCGGTGGACAATGATATCCGGCCAAGGCTATTTGTTCGAAGTCCTAATAAAAAATATTAGCTGAAACTGGGGATATTAGAGGTCCCAGTGCAAGACCTTGTTCTTGTGAGTAAACATTTGTGTCAAAAACAAACTGATTAAGATTCAAACACGCTCTTATGCCCTCGACTATTCCATCCACCGAGAGCTGTGTCCGTTCCCCGAGTGTCGTATCTGCCAGTAACAACCTCTTAGTCACCTCCAGAGCATCTGCCCTAGGGATGTTTGTGTACATTGAGATTATGTCAAAACTCACGAGGACTTCGTCCATCTCCTAGTCACTTGGCCTGACGAAGCCTTTGTGTCAAAAGCGAAACGTTGCCCAGCTATAAATCTAGCGAACCAAACTTTTTCGAAAACGATGACTACTCAATCGGTTCCAAGTATTTTTCACCTGAATAACAGTTCACCTTTTGGTCATGAGGACAATGAGAGATATGACACCATCCTTCAGAGGCCAGATGCTTAGGTATCCAGAAATACCGTTCCCGTCATCTATGGCATGGTGCCCGGTCGCGACTAAGAAAAATCACTGCCGCGAATGGATGGATCTTACGTTGGTGTGACGGGACCCACTGAGCCATCCCGGGGGGTGTCCATACGACACTCGTAGAAACCCTCATACCACGTTGGTCAATGGTTAGAGGTCTGACGAACACAGTCTCCTGACATTCTAGGTCAGAGGTTGGAAAGTGGCGATTTGTTCTACAAAAATTCTAATGCATCTGCATTTCCAACCAAACACCGCTGCCTTGCGGTCAGGCTTTTGGCTCGAAAGCTCTAGTCAAGGACCCTAATCGTCTCCCTGTCTAGGTCTGGACGCCCTGGCAGTATCCCAGCCTACATGCGACCGTGAATTCACAACTAACAAAAATTCATGCCACATTGGTCGTCGGGTGGTGCCATCAGCCAGGTCGCCTTAGTCGCTACATACGGCAAAGCGGGCAAGCGAAAACAGGCTACTGCTGTCTTATTCCCCTTTCACTTACTCTCTTTCACACAATTTTCTCCCCCCCTCTGCTCACGCCATTAACAATTCCCCACATGAAGGTCCGTCAGTTAGGACTGATGACACCGTTCGTCCTGCATCGGTTTTCCAAGCAACATCTGCGCGTCACCGGCGTGGACATCCTCAGGCGGCCCGAAATCAATCTTCAATGTCCAGTCTACGTGGTTGCTTTTAATGTTCGTAATCTGAAGCGATTAAGACAAGCTGCTTTTTTTCGTACGGCAGCGAAGCCCCATTGTTGGACATTTTCGATTACGACGATGAATAGAAACAAGCTCCGAGGAGAATGCCGCATACCCTTCCTTTTCCCCGCGTGGGTGGGTCACTTGCGGAATGATGTCATCCTTCCCACTCCCTACAGCCACAAACGTGTAAAAGCTTACAGGGATTATGTAAAAAGTATTTTTAAAAATGTCTGGCTCTAGTAATGCAGTGAATCGATCCCGGGCAAAAGCTTCAAGCGAAAGCCCATGGGAACTATCTTAGAACCAACATTAACTGACATCCCTGTGGTCAAACGCGAACTGTTAGCAGAAAATAAAATGAGGAAACTGCGACCTTTAGACGTTATTTCACTGACAAGCAAC